AATATGCTTTGTATTTGAGCATTCTGTTTCTTTGAAGCAAATATTGTGGTCAACAGACTGAATGTCTATCAAATGCAGCTTGGGAGATCAAAAGGAAGCTAGTTGTTTCAGCAAGGTGACACTGAAGCTTAAAGGAAGTGTGGCTTTTGATTCACATAAACATGTAAAGAGCTGTGACCCAATGCTAATTAAGCAAAGGAAGTTTTCTTTCATGTCCTACTGCAAGTTTCTCCTTTTTAATTAAAACACAACAAAAGCTTCATTTTTTTCTAACCTTGCTTACAGTAAATATCCCTGAACGCCAACATAAATCTTTTTGAGTGATTGTTTTGTTTAAACCACATCAACTGTTTCTGTATAAAATTTGAATGATCAACACTACCAAACCACTATTTTAAATAAATTGGACATACTATTCCATCTACACTTGTTTGTTTTTAAACTAGTTCATTGTGGTATTCCCTGGGTGAAAATGGCAGTTACCTCTTCTAAAGTGTAGAAGGGTTATATCACATAACTTTTCTCATAAATGCCAAGTTGCAAAAAGTTATTATCCAATTGGTCTCTGGTTAGTTTGCTTAAAATAATGGATAGGTCTGTTTCGATAGTCTTCATAGAAATAATTAGTCCCAACATGTGCTTGTATCACGCATTTGAGTTGCAAAATAATGTATCAACATTTTTTCATTTGATTTTCCATTGTACTTTTACCACTTCAATCAGTTGTATAAATTGATATTACCATAGTCATAGAATTCTTTGTAAACCTCATGTAGGTAAAGCTAGTTTCAACTACTTGACTTCATTAATATTTTTGGATTTATTTGATTTTTTTCACAATCTTTTGTTGATCTTGATGGTTGTTCACTACTCTCACTTATGAAATAGGCAATATTAATTCATGAATATTATTTGTTATTTTATGTTCACACCAATAGCATTTTTCTGAATGAGATTTTATTAGGAATATGGTGAAGATGAAGTCTAGTTGTGTGGTTTCTCTTCAGAACATGTCAGAAGTAATTTTGACTAATCTCGCTATTGCAGTGTTTTGAAATATTGGCTGGTTTTTTTGTTGGTGCTAGAACAGTTATATCAATAAGTGAATTATAAATCCAGATTCTTGTTAGTAAAAATAGCAATGAACCAAATAAATAAAACAGTGTTTTGCTCAAGCAAACTGAAGTGTAGTTTTACCAGTTTAGGTGTAAAGTTATCTCAAAATTCTGGTATCGGTTAAAAAATAAAGCCAACTCCACAAGGCAACTGATCTAAAGCACAATATTAGGGGAGTGCATTCGTTCAAGATCTAAATCTTGAGTTGATTTAGTCTGAGGGATCTTCGATTAGCTTCAGTGAGAAGCTTGATCAGTTGGGTCAATGGGCTGAAGAGTGGCAGATGGAGTTTAATATGGATAAATGTGAGGTATTGCATCTTGGTAAAACAAACAAGGGTAGGACTTATACAATTAAAAATAGGGCCTTGGGTAGTGTTGTAGAACAGAGAGACCTAGTGGTTTGGGTACATAATTCTTTGAATTTTGCATCACATGTAGACAGGGTGATTAAGGAGGCAATTAGTATGCTTGCCTTCATTGCTCAAATGTTTAGAGTACAGGAGTTGGAACATCATATTAAGGTTGTACAGGATGTTGGTGAGTCCTCTTCTGGAGTACTGTATCCATTTCTGGTCACTCTGTTATAGGAAAGATATTATTAAGCTGGAGAGGGTTCAGAAAAGAATTACAAGGATTTTGCCTGGAATGGAGGGTTTGAGTCATAAGGAGAGGCTGGATAGGCTGGGACTTTTGTCATTGGAGTGTAGGAGGTTGAGGGCTGACTTAAAGGGGTTTATTAAATCAGGAAGGGTATGGATAATGTGAATGGCAGGTGTCTTTTTCTTATTGTGGGGGAGTTCAAGAATACAGGGGCAATTTTTTCACACAGAGGGTGACTCGTGTGTGAAATGACCTTCCAGAGGAAATGGTGGATGTGAGTACAATTACAACATTTAAAAGACCTTTGGATGAGTACATGAATAGGAAATGTTTGGAGGGATATGGGCCAAGCAGAGGCAGGTAGGACTAGATTAGTTTGGGTTTATGGTCGGCATGGACTGATTGGACCGAAGAGTCTGTTTCCATGCTGTGTGACTCTGTGACTGTATGATTGCAGATGCATTGTGTTTTAACAGTTTTGATCTATTTTAGCTTATTTGTTAAAATGCATTGAATTTAGAATGTAGTTTGGTGATCCGTTGCTTATTAGGTCCAATATTAGTGGTAAAGAGTAGGATCAGAAAACTGATGCTACAGCTGCTGCTTTGAGGCAGGGGTCCACAAGTCAGAGCAACATAAGGGGGGCAATTCTGTAGTCCTGTTCATGTTGATTTTGTAAAGCCTTGACGTGACACGGTGACGGAGACTTGGACTGAAACAGGCTGGTTTATTTGGTTGTTAAACAGTAATTTTATTCAGCAAATTAGTTTATACTTATGGTTGCAGAGAATACTTTAGAATATATCTTGAGAAAATTTTGTTTTGAGAGAACCATCTTGTAGATTGTTTTCAGCACTGAGAAAGTAGTTTCCTCTCCTTGTCCTCCTTTTGTACCATCTCCAATAGCTTAAGTTATTATTAAATAAGTCAGGGTCCATCTGTTCCTCCCAGGAGTCCATACATTACCATATTAGTTTTGCTTTTCTAATTTCTAATCATGTCTGGCCCCTTGGTTAAGGATATTTTACTTCTGGAATTGCTAAACTTGTGGTCACTCATCCTTCTTATATTTTAGTGGTAACATTGCTTATGATCATTTTTTTTACAAATCATTATCTTCATGCACTCTCGGTTTTACCAGCACCCAGCATGTGGTGCATAGATTTAGGAATGTGGGAAATGGCACAGATGTATAATGGGGAAGTGTTCTATTTTCAGAATTGTCATCCTTAATTTTGAAGAAAACCATGCACTATTTGTGAAATGCACAGTCTGTTCTAAAGCAAACTATATGAAGATTTAAAGCTAAGTACAATACTTGAAGGTTTAATGTACTTTATCTTACATAACCAACCTAACCAATGAAGGATTTGTTGCCCTTTATGAGCTGACAAGTTTTATACACAAAGAAATAGTATGCCTTTGAAATAGAAAATGTGTGCACAAAAGCCTCATAAACATTGATTCTGTTGAAGTTTGCACCTCTAGTTTGTTTGCTACAAGACAGAATGCCATCTGCATTATTTGTAAATTTGCATTAATGTTCCTTTTGATGTTACCGAGGAGCACAATTGTGAAACAAATTTTTAACAAGGCTGTGCTTTTCCTTTGACCTACATTTGAAAGTTGACAATAATTCATTCATATTCATTTCTGTTGTATAACCTACTTATGGACTTCTGTGATATAAAATATTTGCATTTGTTCAGTCTGGAAGAAGGTTTGGCTAAGATTTTTTCCATAAATCATATTATATGCCTCTGAATCTTTACTGAAGATAAAGTCTACTCTAAACATGGAAGCTGACTTTGTTTATGTTCAAAAGTGATTTTGTTTACATTTGAAAATTTCTACAGACTCACCTTACCCTCAAAATATTAGGTGAGACTGAGATCTTCTCTGATTTGGTGATGAGGAGCCTGGCTGTCTATCTGCGTTCTAATCATTTTAATCCCTTGGTTTTAATGAAGCAGCAAGGCCCTTAATTATAAAGCAAAATGTATGTCTTTCCTAAAATAAAAACAAAGTACTGCAGATACTAGAGATCTGAAATATGAATCAGGAAGTGTTGAAGAAACTCAGCAGGTTTGGCAGTATCTGTTGAGTGAGAAACAGAGTTAATGATTTGAGTTTAGTATGATTTTTCTGCGGAACTAAATTGAATTCATCAGGTTGGATTCAACATTAAACTCTCGTTTCTTTTTCCCCAGATGCTACCAGCCCTGCTGAGTTTCTTTAGCACTTTCAGAATTTATTATCACATTTCCTTCTTATTTGATATGAAAGTATCTTTAATTATAAATAAATAATTCAATTGGTATTTGACCTAATTTGGTCATTTTTAATTATGACATTAGTTTTAACATTTTGTTTTGAAAAATTAATTTTTTGCATTGGCCAACAATATGATTTTGGTTTTAGATGTACCTTTTAACCATGTAAGTGGGCTTGATCTCTCAAGGACTTAAATGCATAACTTTTACATATTCTTCAATCGCAATTAAAATTTAGAATTAGCTGTTCAATCTCAGGCATTTTTCTTCCAAAGAATAATGTGAATCTTAAATTGTTTGATTTGGGAAATAAAGTAATGGAAAGTTCTACTGTTTTGGTAAACTTCTTATTGTGATTTGTTACATTCATACAGTATTTAAAATGAATTAAAATACATTTCCTGGTGGGCCGCATTATTAAAACTTTGTCTTTATTCAATTTACAATGGTAAGTGCTGATGGAGTTAACTATTCAGTCTGTCTAGATTACCCTTCCATAGAAAGTGG